CTTGGCTTCGCGACTGCAGGATTGCAATGCATAGTCGAGTAAGTAAGCAAGCGAGTAAGTTCGGCAAGTAAGTAAGTAAGTAAGTAAGCAAGCAAGCAAGTAAGTAAGTAAGTAAGATTAAGTAAGTAAGTGAGTGAGTGAGTAAGTAAGTGAGTGAGTGAGTGAGTAAGTAAGTGAGTGTGTGGGTGTGTGTGGGCGTGCATGCCTGCGTGCCTGCGTGCCTGCGTGCCTGCGTGCCTGCGTGCGTGCGCGTGCGTGTGCGTGTGCGTGCGTGTGCGCACGGTTTCCTGCTGCATATGTTTGTGAAGTACTGCTATACAGTCAAATCCATGACAACTTCCGGCCATTTCCGGCCATCCAACTCCTGGCAAAAGGTGCGGACGAGGCGCTCCTTAACATGAAGACCCGGAAGGACAAGAGCAAGTGCATGTGCGAGCCGATGCGCCGCCGGGCAAGATGTGTGAATGACACGGGGTATTTTGTGGTGACCAAACAGGATGCACATGCTGCGACAGCCGTGAAGTCTGTGATTGCCCACTCGCCAGCCCCAAGGAATGCACATGTGGATGCGGAAGAAGATGATGATGCCTTGCACGCCAGAAATGATGTGAAGGCCGTGATTCACTTGATATAGTTTCACGGCGTCAAATTACGAGGATCTGCATTCCACCGCATATCGAGGCGCTCCATGCATGTTTTTTGCAAGCTGCTATGGTATGGCTTCAGGCAGCATGACCAACAGTCCTGGTCGAATGCCAACAGGACTCAAACGGCTTTCCGAGGTGTGGCGGCCAAACGATCGAAGAGCGCACACTTCTGATCGCTGCCTTGCAGGCTGGCCGGGTGCCAATTCTGCGAGGCCGAGATGCTCGTGCCGATAGCGGGAGTGGCCGTTAGAAAATCGATGGTCGTAGCGGGAGCGGGCAGGAGATTCAGGCATGCACAAGTACCACTGGTTGCAGCTTCGCTAGGGCCAACGAAGCCGCCTGCAAGAGCAGTCGGCTTCTCGGACTTACACTGCAGTCGACGGTTTCAGACGGTTTCAACCAGGCTGAGCGGAAAGAGCATCTGCGGGCTGGCATTGGCCGCCTGCAGGCCTTCGACTTGCACTCGGCCGTTATCTTGAAGACTGGAATTTGCGAGGCGCTGCTCGCGACACTGCCCCGCCCAGAGCGGCGAAAGGCTGTCGAGTCGCTTTCACTGCCGCTGCGGACAGCTCTCCTCCGACAGCTCGAGGCTGAGGGCACTGCGTTGTGCCAGTGTCTTGCAGTGCACTGATTGGAGGTTGCTCGATGGAGAGGGCATTCCGGCGAGATATCGCAAGCGCCAGACGACCGCCAGGAAACAGGCAGGGACATGTATATAGGGCATTCAGGCAGAGCATCCGTTCCGTTCCCTTAATCGGTTGCTTGGCCGTCAGATGCTCACAAGCATGTGAGCCAGCGCATGTTGTGCACTCGGCCGACGGCTTGAGCACATGGCATGTGGGTCACAATTCGTCCTGCCTTGCATCTTGCCTTGTGTGTAAGGCGACAGCCTCCGCACCTGAAGCCGAGAGGATCCCTTTCTTGAATTGCTGCAGCGTGGAGTTTCCTGAAGTCTCAAAAGGATTGATTGGCATGCAGGGCTCTTGCTGGAGCCGCAAGAGTAGTTGCTGAAGCAGCCAAAGTCTCCGCTGTCGAGGAGCTGGAGCGGTGTCTTCAATTTCTGCGTCCAGCTCAGTGAACTGTCCAGCCTCTCCTGACGTAGCCTGAGTCACTGAGTCACTTGCCTTTTTGGGTTTAGGGATCTTCGAAGTCTTGAAGCCTCAGGTTGGGAATGGCACCGGATATGTGGCACGGATCACCATCCGCGGCGTGTCTGTGAGCTCGAGGCACACAGCGGGTCTCCCCGTTAGATTTAAACAATGGCTTTTCGAGCATTTGCGAGCTGGCTCAGCTCTTTACATAACCCTGCCCTATACCCTGCTCTCAGGCGTGAACTTGCCATAATATGCACACAGTGCTCTTCCGGACAGCATGTAGTGTTCGAGTCAAGAGAGTATGCTCAGCCGAGGTGCTTCGAGACTTTCGAAAAGGCGGAGAGCTTGAGGCCGGAGCCCGACAGACCCGCGTCTTGCAGATGGCCTCGGAAGGCCCTACATCTTTGATGCAGTCTTCAGTCGTCGCCCGTCTCTGAGGCTCTTGCTCGCGGACTTGCGCTATGCATTGGAGGCCGAGGAACTGTCCCTGTGATTCGTTGTCTTCACCTTCCTTATGAAACCTAAAGACATGAACAGAACACAGGAGCGATCACTGCATACTGCTACGGTCAGGTGTCAAAGCCGTCTACCTATGTCTGCCTCTGAACCCTCTGTTGCTGCCATGTGCTGCAGGGGGCGCACACTCAGCTGCTTTTCGCCGTGTTTCTCACGGAAGTACGCATCCGGCGCTGTTGCGTCGATGACAGTTCTATGCGACGAAAAGATACCAAAAGCATCTGAAAGCAGACCTTCCCACCAAGGCAAAAAAATTCCGGCTTGGGTCTAGGGCGTCCAAGAGCATCGCGCATGCACGGGCATTCACTC